GTGTAGGTAGAATCCACCACCTAATTGATTTCATTTCAGGCAATTCGGAAATAACATTTCTTTTTATTAGTGCAGGTACGTTCTTACAGTAGTCTTTGTTACTTACCTACTTTGAAAAAAAAAACGAAACGCTTAACTTTGATCTTCCCTAACATGGTGCACTCGCATTGACTATACCAGGCGATCAAAAATGAGTGGTGGTCGAGTCGCCTTTGGAAGTTTAAGTTAAGTACGATTTCCCACGTAAACAAAACTTCCAAAGGCAACCCATTTTTGATCGCATAGTAGTTTTGTTTTGAGCTACCTCACTCTCTAAATTTTCATCGTCAATAATTTCATTGGGTACTCTAAAACAGTTGAAGATTTGCTGTGGATTGGCTGTAGGGTAATAATTTCGATTGTCGCTAAAGAAATGGGGATATAGAAACAAGTACTTTTTAAATTCTACAAGGACCTTATAATATAAGTCGACACAATGGATTTCACAAGGTGCACCACACGGATCAAAACCTATCTAAACAACACAAAAGTGCAAGTTTGATTCCCAAATGAAATAGGTACTAAGTGTTTTAGTATCACTGGTTTTGTAATTTTTTTCCTCATCGAGTGAGGTAAAAATCCAATATGGCGTCCATTTAAAATAAGAAAGTTGATGTCAATATCTCGAAAACCCGCCATTTTGAAAATTTTTTCTACACCCATTGAATTATGCAACTTTTATTTGAAACTGTTATCCATAATTCTCTTTTTTTCTAAAATATTTGAACTTTTTAAAAATGGCGATTTTCACTTTTTTCCAATTACCTAGGAAACGATTTACTTTTTTCAAAATATCGCATTCAAATATCCATCAGCATCAAAAACTACACAACTCAATTTAACCGAATCTGTAACAAAGATAGTCTGATAGTCATGTTATCTTACTCAATTTAAGACACCCTGTATAATAGACGAATGGAAAGCTCTCGTGAAGACCTACATTTAAAAAAATACGTGTAAATCGGATTAATAGTTCACAGAAATCATGACTTTGGGCTTGTGTTCGGGACAACCAAAAATGAGTTTGCAAATCGGGTCGCATCGAACGATTCTTTAAGTTTTTAATTTTTGCTTACAGAATATGAATATAGAATTTGACCAAAATGTATGATCTTTATTTATGAGAGTGCCAAGGGGCCATTATAGAGTTACCTTTCTTATTATATTATATTATTTTGCTACTGGTTCAATAAAAATTATATGGTTTTGAGTGATAAAACTAAATACCAAATTGTTTCTCTTAAAGAAAACATACCTAATCTTCCAAAGTCCGTGTTACTTTCATAATTTAAACTGCACAAACAAATTAAATTGTTCTTGTTTGCAAATTGAAAATACCGAAAAAATTAAATACCTGGGGTTAATCATTAATACTAAATTATCTTGGAAGGAGCATATTAGTAAATTAAAGCAAGAAATTTTTGGTGTTCTTCGTAAGTTTTATTTCATAAGGAAAGTTTGTCCAGTAAATGTTGTGAGTTCTAAGTTAGGTTACGGGCTGTGCTGCTTTTGGCGGTAGGTACGTATGCTTCCACTCTTTACCCTTTAATGGTTTTGCAGAAAGTCGTAATAAGGGTAATTACTAGAAATAGTAAAATGACACACTCATGGCCAATTTTTCAAAAGTTAACAATTCTACTTTTAGGACATATGTACGTTTTCAAGGTATTGAGACTTTTTTATATTAGAAGAAGTAATAACTTTTGCAATTTTGGTAAGCAGCATAATCTAAGACCTACTTTACCAGCTACAGTTCCTCGTTCAAAATTAACTCAAAAGTAATCTCAATGTATTTTTATTGCAACTTAAAAAACTATTATTGGCTACTGAAAACATTGAGGATGATTTGTTTAGTTTTGCGGCTTAGTTTTTATGTGGTTTCGTAAATAGTTCTCATGATTTTTTATGCTTTATATATGCTTTTCTTTTTGGATAAATTATTTTTAAGTTATTTTATGATCATAGTTTAAAAGTTATTTTATTCTCAGCTCTACTCGCAAATTTTATAGACTGCTAGTAAATGTAATCCGTAATCTTTTCAGCTTTATTCTTTATTATTATATTGTTTGTTTTTCTTATTATAAATGACTGGCTCTAATTCTCTTTTCGCGGGTATATAATATGCAATACATGAGGGAGGTCTCACCACGGACGTTGTCTATGGGAACCCTAATATTTCTCAATGTGATATATTTACAAGTTTAATTTTCTTTTTTTTTATTGTAAATCATGTTATTATATGGAGAAATAAACATATATTATTATATTATTATTATTATATTTGTTAGTTAACTAAAAAAATTTTACAGTCCGTCGATTTGCAAGAATCATCAGGACAATTTTTGGAAATGGCTATCGTAGGGTTCCACCATCTAGTCCGTCTAGTGCGACAGTTGAATCTGTCAATTAGTCTTAGACTAATTGACAGATACAACTGTCAAATGTTGACAGATACAACTATCAATTAACACTCATTGATTGATACAACTGTCGACTATCGTTAACTGACGTATACTGAAGTGTAAATGAGTAAAAAAGTTCATCGTGGCCGTGTTCTACGCCCTCGTATCAAAGTGCATGTATCATCAATTTTTTATGAGGAAGTTAAATACTTGAACCTCATAGGTTGGAAAATGTTAGAAAATTCCAATCTTACGAGTTGGAAAAAGCAATTTTTGAAGTTTAAAATTAACATAATCAACAGATTGTTAATAAACCTTATTTTGATAACCTAACCCCTCCTTTTTCGAAAAAAGGGCAATTTTGTTCAAAAAGCTTTGAGTTTTGATGAATGAGGGAGTGAATTTGCTTTTAAAGTCGATGATGTTGAAAATAAAAAATATGGAATCCCATTCCTTGGTAAACAGGAAAAAATCACATTGTTCCTTAAAGAGAAAATACTCCTACTAGTAGAATTGTATATAAAATGATATTGGTAATTGATGACGTGAAATTGAAAAATAGCATTTAGGGTGTTTGTAGAGGATTTTGGGTCACTACATACATATATGGTTTTCCCATTAACGCAAAAGTTGGAAAGTTTCGCAAATTAGAAACAGGGATGATTGAAACGTAGTAGACCTTTAAGCAAAATAAGTGTACTTGTAGCAGGTGTGAGCGTTAACAGTAATAAAATAAAACTCCCCTTCTCCATGTACCTACTCGTGTAAAAGTTGTATCCAAATCGTCACTTTATACGTAGTATGTAGTCGAGTTTAGTTTAGGCAAATGTGGCCCTCGACACCAACAGATTAAACTTTATAGTTGCACCGGTAGCATCTATCTAAGATAATTACCCATGCATCATACTGGTGCGTGTTGCGGAGTGAGTTTCTGTAATATTGATGTTGAGGACATCAGCTGTTCGTTTCAACCCCCACGTTGCGGGAAGCCCTTAGCATCAGATGCTCTCATTTCCCTTTCAACGGGGTAGAAGAACACGCACCGTTTATATTCGCATTTTATGAAGAGCCGTAACTCGCAGAATCAGATGGATGTGTGCGGGCGCGATTAGAGGAACACGCGAAAGAAGGGAGAGGAATCGTAGTAAGGGAGAGACATAGAGGGTTTATTTATTGTAACCGAGGAAGAAGGTACGCGGACACTGCGGGTGTAAGAGAGATGGGAAAAGGAAAGGGATAGCTACCCATCAGCGCCAGCTGCCGGCCCATCCGAATATTACTCAGCACTTTGATCTCTCTTTACGACCCTGTGCCTTATTGCATCGCTAATGGTCACTGCTAGATCTGGTATTTTATTAGAGACCTAATCACGTTTTATTCTTCTCCCCCAATTCTGATTCAGTTCTTGGAACGTAGACGATTTCGACATGGATGAAACGACCTACTAAACTAAATTTCTTCCAATTTAAACATAAAAGATTCCATTTTGTAAAAATGCCTCATGTAACGTCGTTCTTACAAGAATTTCGGAAGGGCTGGAGGTAGAAGAGCTTCATTAACGAAGCTTATTACTTCCCGAGTTTCCGTATACGCATCGTCGAAATTATAATAGTCAAGTCCGTTGCGTAATAAGCAATCGCTCGGGGCTGCTCACTTGAATAACTCTTATCATTACAGAGAAGTAGAAACTTAGTTCATCAACTGCGTTATGGTTTTCTTAACAGGGAAGGGAATGGAATAGGCGTTATTTAGAACAAGAATCAATTTGTTGGTGGTGAATTACCTATTCCACTGAGAAGCATTATCTATGAACTTTCGAAAGTAAGTTAAACCTCACTCACCGTGTCGAAATTTTCGTTTGGGAAACATTTCATCTATTCAAATACGTGTTCCATTCTCCATTTTTGAACATAATGTTAACATGTGATTGAGTATCGTTAATTCGCGTAGATGAAATGAATTCGAATGGCACGATAAAGCCAAAACGTCAAAGAGTAACACGCTTTGTTTATTGTTGCTTATTTTCAAAAGAAATTTTGAATTTCACGCTTGTTTTCGACCAGCAGCCAAAAGACAGGTGTGTCAAAAACCGTATACAGACTAAATCAAAAATTGACGTTGTGCGCTTTATCATTGATAAGGCCATTGTTTGTCTCGATTTTTAAATCTCATTGTTACTTACTTTTCATTAATCTGAATTCACGAATCAAAGCTTTAGCGACATGTGCGTATGAAATCGAAACAAAAGCCAAAAAATCAGCCCTTATCTCTACAGCTCGATTCCTCCTCATTCAAAGGGTGCATATTCGTATACGAAAAATAAAACGATACAGTTGAGCACAAACGCGTTAATTTGATACTTGAAAATATCTCACCAGCTCATCCACTTAACAGCGTTCGTCTAACTAATGCATCGTTTTTTGTTTCCAAGTAATTATCTTCAAAATGGATATTGTCTCTGTATAAAAGGATAAGTGAGGTAGTTGCTGAAGGACCTATAGCAAAGTCTGGAAACTTCATCAAACTTAAATCAAATAAAATAGACGCGGAAGCTCTTACCTGCATAGTTTGAAACAAGCTGACAATACAGGGATGTCGTAACTGCGCCATTATTCTCGCTTCTCGATGCAAGTTTTTCAGGATGTATTCTTCTTTGATCTTCGTAATATCGATAATTTTGACAGCAACCTGCAAAAGATAAATACACGTTAACTGTCATCATCGAATTTTAGGTTAATGCAAGACACGATTCTGTCACTCATATTTCCAAAGTTGACATTAAAGTTGAATTTTTGCAAAAATATTCGACAAAATTGTACAGGATGAAATTGAAGAAAAGTTCTAAATTTTGTAAAATACGAAAGCCAAATTTTGGAACATTGGTCGCTAATAGAAAAAATTCGATACAACTGAATGCCGAACGATCCTCAAGATCGTTTTTCCACCTTAACTTTTTGGCCCGATTATCTACATAGCTGTAAAAGAATAGGGTCTTTTCTTATACCTTTAAGAACATGTGTACCAATTTTCAAAAACAGCGGACGTTTCTAAACAAAATTAGTGCACACGGATCGATAGACGGGCAGTTTTTTGAAGCACTCTTAGTTACGAAATGACTTTCATTTAACAATTCTAGACGTTGAAAATGTACAGCAGTATTTTATTGCTCGTTTGGGATACCGCAGAGCTGTTAAAGGCGGGCACTTTCAGCATTTGCTAAAATTATTTTTGAGATTTAAAAAAATAATTTATGAATCGGTTTATGTTGCAATACTTCAACTCGAATATTTCGTCAACAGTTGCAGATAGGTATAGGGTATTTACTTCATGTAAATGTACATGTCTACAATTTTCTGGATAATATGATAATACAATTATAATACTACAGGGCTATTTCTATTTAAGGAGGAAATATTTTTCCCGACACGCTTTTTGGAGCAAATCGTTTCCCACGCAAGCTTATTGTTTTCCAATGTAGAATAAGAATATACAATAAAAACGATAGGAATTGAAACCAACAAATTAACAAATAAAGAAGTCAAATCCGTAATTTCTGTAGGTGGAGATTAATCACGAAGAAAAAAAGAGGGGCCATTCCGAAAACGAAATTAAAAAAAGGAATCGCCATTGCAACCGTTTTGTGGTTCCTTGAAGTTCCTTGGCTAAAATTTCACGTTGTCGTTTCAACCAGGTAGCGTCTACAGTTGAAACTCATAGAGCAGTGCTTCCCATGGCGCCCCCTTTCTGAAATCTAAAATTGCTCACGCCCCCTTCTCCGATTAAAAAATAAAAACTGCTTTACTACAAAAAAGAATTTAAAAAAATGAATTAATTATTGAGTTTTTTTCATTTTCACTATGGAGACTCGTGCACTCGTAAACCGTAAGAGATACAAAGCAAAGTTATGCAGAATTTTATGCTGACTAATTTGTCCTTTCAAAGTTTTCTGTAGTTTTACAAATGCCAACAAAAACCGAAAAATGTCATTTTCGACGTCGTTCACTGTGTCTTTTGGATGGTCGACGGTTTTTTTTATTAACTTAGACGTTTGGAAAGTAATAGCTAACGAATTGAGAAAATTTAGAGTGGTTGAAAAAGAAAATTTTGAAATTTGGTCTTTCTATTAAAGTGTCAAAACTGAGGATGAGGCCCGTCTTTTTTATTTACATATTTCTGGAAATTTTTGTTCTGTTCAAAAAATAGATTGCATTTTGTAAGTAATAAGTTTCTCTACACTATTGCGACAAATTAGTATGTCTAGAGTGAAGGGTTACAGGACATACGAAATAAAAATACGCTGTACCTCGGTTTTTAGAATCAGGATTTTTTCTTAATTAAACAATTTTGAGGTAATAAGAAATATTAAAACAAAATGTCTGTGTCGTAAAATTTATATAAAAAGAAAGTGGGAATATTATTAGTTTTTATTTAGTATAAGACCATTATTTCGAAGGTTATTGTGTTGGACTTAAGAGAACAACAAAACAAAAGGAAATGTGAAACGCACACAGAACAACTTACAACCGCATTACATTCCATACTGATTCTAGGACCCTCTTGAATCTTGAAATGAAAATAGGGTAACACCTAAGACGGGGTCTGTTGACAGTTTTGACATTTGTAGATAATTATCACTTTCAAACATACATGATAATTATATTTCATTACGCACGGGTGTAGGTAATGGATTTTGAGAAGGTGACTTTTGTAAATTAGATAAAATTTTTGTTTAAATCTCAAAACTGAAAACATTAAACGTAAGTTTAACGTGCAATCAATGGCAACTGAGACTACTACGTTTGAGTAAAAGATTTCGTGTTAATGCAAAGTTCGGTCCAAAGTTTGTCTACTAGTAAGAAGTTATTGAATAAAAAAAAGGCCCAATACCACATGTCACAGCGCGGTTCTGTAACATCGCTTATAGCGATCAATTTGACAACAAGAAGTTCTCTTTGAAATCGACGGCACATCTCCGGGGACTCGGTGTACTTTCCTTCCAACGAACATTTCGACATATTGCAGCGGTAAACGGAACCTTTTGCCAGTCAATACGGTAAAGTTATACGGAAAATTCTTGACACGTCGACATGACCGCCTTTGCGCCCCTAAATTTGTTTTCTTTTTATTTTCTTTGTGTTATAATATTGCGAAATGAGATTTCCATTTCCAATGGGGGAGGTGGCGGCGTATAAAGTACAGTTCCAAACCATATATTTATATTAAGCAAGATAAATATTGACACGTTCAATTTTGTAATGAATTATGTTTAGCTTCTGGACGAAAATATTCGAGAATCATTATGGTTGCGCCTTTTAGACGCCACTATACATCAACGAAAATATTTACATTAATCACGCTTTTATTTACTTACACTTAGGGAAATTGTCTAGAATTAAATCAGCCCTTCACATAATATTGATTATTAAGGACACCGTTTTAAAGTATCTCGGTTACGGTTACCAAAATATTAATTTATTATAATTACAAGTTTACACAGTATAACCCGGTTTGAACTCTTTGTGCTATACACGAAAAGTCTGTTTTTTGCATCATGATTAGTGGTTTTTTCTGTTTATAATTTTTTGATTTAGCCAAGATAAAGAGGATTAACTAGAAGGGTTTCAGATAGAAAAAAGGTTAATGCGATACAAATGTCGTTGTGTGTGAATGAAATTACCACCCCAATGTAAGAGTGTACTTGCAATACATTTTATAAAGCTCTCAAGCTCACTTAGTTTAGGTCGGCGTATCTGGAACCAAACCCAGGGAGGTAGAGTGACAAGCACTACGCTCCATAGCTCCAAGTCGAAACTTTTTAAAACACCAGGTATAATTCCATTTAAAGTTTTCTCGCGAACACCTTAATTAATCTACTGGTGGATTTCGTTATTGATAGAAAATAGATTTACTTGTTCCAAAATCATAGCTATGAATCAATACCTTACTTTCACGTGCATGACGAATAATAGCCAGATGACAGAGTAACCAACAGGTGATGACGTCCATTTCCAATAAATTCGAAATAATGCATCGATGAAAAAGATTATGTATTGCCCACCTAAAAGGAAAATGGATAATTTGTAACAACGTGCCTCTCATCAAGGATCAAGTGATCAAAAATAGGATTATTAACCAACACACGCAAACGTAGTTTGGAGAAAAATTGGAAATAAAATTCCCTCGGAAACCGTCGAGTGCGCTGCTTTTTTGGAAAAAATGTTGCTCAGTTCTTTTTTGGTGCCACAACCGCTGTATAATCTCGTTTTGTATGGTCCAAAATCCCTATGTTAACAACCACACCTACTTACCCAAGGAATATTTATTAATCGCACTACTTCACGAAAGCAATGACACTGGTCAACTGACTAATATTGTAGAAAACATGCGACCCCGAACTCGTTTGTCGTTATCGCGGCAAGGACAGGCTCAACGTAATTTCTCTATACGTGTAATTATAGTTATCGAATCAAATTGCAAATTATTCTAGACGTTAAAAAATGCGTTTCAAAATCAAGTCGGGTATCAATCAAATTGACAAGCGTTCCTGTTCCTGACATCACAAATCAAAAAATTAATTTTATACTAGAGATGTTTGAAGTTTTTGATGGAGTGAGCAGGCATTCTTCTTCATGTATGAAGTACTATACGTAGCATGGACATTCAATACAGCTAATTTTCAGTTCTCCTGTGCCATTTACTTTGCATCAGTTTCTACATTGTGATAATGACAGTAATAACAAGAATTTTGGTTTTCATATTTTTTACCAGATTTGATTAATCGCTCCCTGTTTTCTTTTGGAAACTGAAGTATCGCAATGGAATAGACTGTAATGCTTGGGCAGCGAAATTTTATAATCGCCGTCACTGTAATAAATTATTTATTTTGACAAGTGAAATTATTGTTCTCTATATGTTAAAGGATGAATTTGTATCAGTATATACAAGGTGTCTCAACTAAAATTTGCACCTTCTACTAAACCATTTTACAAATCAACAGCTCAATTTTATGTTCACTTTGAGGTCTTCCACCACATCTGCTTAGAATCATCGACGAATGACATTCATTTGGAAACTTCCCACCACGGATTTATCGGAAACCACTGATTAAAGGAACAAAACGCCGAGACGCGTCAAAAGATTTGTCAAGGGGGACAACTTTTTCATCAAAAACTACTTCGTCCCTTTTCACCCTCTGCCCCCAGAGTCATTCCCTTAAAAATTTTAAATGACAAGTAGTATCAAGTAATAGCTTGTTTAACAGATCTTTCGAAGTCCTTTATTTTGACGTCAAGTCAGTTTAAACGGAAGCGTATTTTTCCGTTTATAAAAAAGTGTTGTGGTTATCGAGTGTTTATCGGTTCTTTGTCAATGACACTTTCTCTATGATTTGACAACACTGGCTCTTCTGAGTCCATTCCCCAAACATGCCTTACCTGTTGTTATTCCTTTTTGTCGCAGCAACTTCCATTTAAAACGCCTATAACGTAGGCATAGAACATATTAATATAAGCGCTCAATCGATATGCGAGCTTACTCATTTTACTGACTATAGGAGGGTATATATGGTGAAGTAGAAGATATACCGCCCCCTCCCAATCGAAGGAGGTGCTGAGAGCTGCCAAAGTTTTTTTTTCAACGGTAGCAGAAATAAATTACCCTTGTGATATGCGATCGTTTCCTAAAGTAGGTAATTTTTACGCACGTTAGTAATGGAGATATTACATTGGGGATAAATCCTTGACTTTTTTGATGGAAATACACGTTTTGAGGGAATCCGAACCACACAAAATCTAAATGATGTCGGTCTGTCTGTAGTTTGGTGTACGTAGTTACATAAATACGTCCATGCGTAGTTACAGAGAGTGGAATTTTTCCACAGGTTTATGTAACATTTGTAAATTTTGCTTGCAGAAAGGTGACATTAAATTCAATTAGGATTTTTGTTATCGGCTTGTGTGATGGGTCAGGGGGTTTGTGGCGTAAAATATTTATTGAATTTGTTGTTGTAGTACCATAATCTTTCCAATAAGTAATTAGTGATTGATGATGCATTTGCTGAAAGATAGCATAATTGGATTTAGAATCAAAATAAAAGGACCCTCGGACCTCCTTAGCGTGGTTGTCAATTTGTAAGTTTTGCTTGCAGAAAGGTGACATTAAATTCAATTAGGATTTTTGTTATCGGCTTGTGTGATGGGTCAGGGGGTTTGTGGCGTAAAATATTTATTGAATTTGTTGTTGTAGTACCATAATCTTTCCAATAAGTAATTAGTGATTGATGATGCATTTGCTGAAAGATAGCATAATTGGATTTAGAATCAAAATAAAAGGACCCTCGGACCTCCTTAGCGTGGTTGTCAATTTGTAAGTTTTGCTTGCAGAAAGGTGACATTAAATTCAATTAGGATTTTTGTTATCGGCTTGTGTGATGGGTCAGGGGGTTTGTGGCGTAAAATATTTATTGAATTTGTTCTTGTAGTACCATAATCTTTCAATAAGTAATTAGTGATTGATGATGCATTTGCTGAAAGGTAGCATAATTGGTTTTAGAGTCAAAATAAAAGGGCCCTCGGACCTCCTTGTTACTAATGTGATATCAGAACTGACAGGGCATGCGAATAAGAATCATTCCCTCTGATTCGGCAGGAAACGATTTATGATCGTTTGCAGAGACGAATTTAAGCGGAGCTTATTTATTATTATTTTTTTTTATTATTTGCAATTTAAATATTTACAGATTATAATGCTACATCAGTCACATTGAAACATAAAAAAATGTATATAGGTATAATGTTAAATATTTAACTGGCAATTATTTAAAAATGTACATATAGCATTACAAATAGAGGTAGTAGTATTGTGCAAAATTGCCTCAACGCGAGTAGGAAAATGAATTCCAAACTCCGCTTAAGCGGTAATGATTATTGCGACAATAGTTGTCATAAATTTTAAGCTACGTTAAGCTAAGCTCAGCTTAATTTTTTCGGGGCAAACGGCCATTAGTGAGTTTCTTGAATGAGTCAAATAGTCTTGACTGAGTTTCATAGTCCTTCCCGATTCTCTTATTTTTCTTTAGTTCAGAGCCGATGTTTATGATTCTATTTGTACTGGTGAAACATTATTATAGTTACTTGTTATACTTTGAAACGTAAGTACCAGGGGCGGTTTATACATCCACTCAGGGGAGGGGGGTCGAAAATAAAAAAGGTACAGAATTGCAGATGCAGAGGTGCGCGGGAATTTTTTTTTGAGTAGCTTTGACCCAATTTTAGCTGTTTTTTTGTTAAACTACCTATTTCCGCATTAATTTCCGAATACTGACAAAGACAGAAAAAATACGAGAGGCGATACACGATTCCGCCTCCGCCGGCATTATTTTGTGTACCTATTTTATTCAATTTTACTTTTCCGTCAGGTGGTTTGTGGTTAGGTCTATTTAATTCGATTATTATGTAAACGTAATGAAATAAAAAAAACAATGGAGGTGGGCGCCCCCCCCCCAAACCGCCCATGATAAGTACACAATATACTTCGAAGGCTCGGTAAGTACCTACGCATATGCATATCCTTAATTTTTTAGCGCAAGAACAATAACGTTTGCTTCAGGACCGGGGAGTTCTTTGTGAGCCTGACCGTTCGAAGCTGAGATTATTTTACTCATGCAATTAATCCAATGCTTAATACGCTTACCTATGCTTTTCCCTTGATACTAACAAAACCCAACCGACCTTATTATATGGGCTCGTTCATTTCAAATCGTGCAGAAGTACGCGATTCTTTCATTTTGTGCAATGCAGAATCAAATTTATTTGGAAATGCGGTTCAATTGCAAATATTCGAACGTAAAAAAGTTAAAACGACCCGTTTCCATTTTAATCTCGTCAGCACAACGGTCGTACATGCATACGAAATAAATTTATTGAAATTTTCAGAATGTTGGCGTTTTTAAACAAATGCCCTTTGATGGATAAAATATGACAGATCGCGTCGTCGAAAAGTTACAATAATCCCCGCTTTTGAAATGTCCGGATTTAAAGTCCATTTCGTTTTTGTGTTTTAATTCGAAATGTATCGTGGATTAAAGCAAATGCGAGTGGGAATTCTGCCTGCTTACGACGTAGGAGTCGTTTTGCTAATTTTCTGAGGGGTAGTTTTATTTCACCTGAAACTGTTTTAGGCATCTAGATTAACCACCGGCATATCCATATGCTTACGCTTTCTGGTAGGTAGGTAAGCGTTTGAACTTTGTTTTATTTGTACGTTTTCACTCAGATTCTGTGCAACTTTTGCATTATGATTTAATTCAAACTTTATAAAGCGTGTTTGATCTGGGTTAGTGTATGAAACAAAGCATTATCTAACTTTGAAACAGTGCATTTTCATTTTTGATGGAGGGTTCTATTTAAAGATAGATTATTAAAAAGTGTAAAATGTAACAGCGCAAGAACTTCAAAGCGTAAATAAATTTCATTGTGTCGTGAGGCTTTAGTGCTGTGCGAAAAACGAAACAAAAGTACTCACAAACGCATCATGTGAATTATTTCAGAAGACAATTTTATGGAAGCAGATCTATCCATAGCATCTATTTTGTATTTTGTTACGTATTGAGTAGTTGAATCCTAGATACATTAGAAACGTGAATTTTGCATAATTAGTTTAAAAGGTAATAAACCATTTACAATAAAACGGGTACTTAATATTGGTGACGAGGATAAAATACCAATGGCTTCCTTTGGCTTGGGAAGTGTTGAATATGAATAATTTATACAATCATTATCATTAATACACCATTAAGAAAAACCAATAGAAACAAATGTATGGTTTCGTTGGTTAGCGACCCACAATTAACTTTTGCTTCTATTGGCTATTTCTTAATGATCGAATAGGTATGATAATGATTGTATAAACCCATCATTAATGCAACAGCTCCGGAAACATGGACTGTGTACAGGGCGTGGACACTTTTTTATGGAAACACTCTTTATTTTAAGAGATAGGAAAAATGGATCTAGCCAAATTACTGGCTCAAACGAATTCAGCTATCTGTACCCGTTTGC